TTTGATAACCTCCAGCTTATTTTACTTGAAATTTGAAATTGTATTTCTTTTCCACTGCATTATGTGTAACCATAAACTTCATGTATTTTATGCAATAACCATAAATTATTAAAATGTTCAACACTTTCTTGCAAATTTGTTTTTTTCTTTATGAAATAGTTTACTATTTGTTAAACACAAATTTGAGATGTATAAAACAGTCACACCCTTGTAGCTTATTTTATTCAAAAGTTACAAATATTGATAAGAAGAACAATTTAAGTAAAGATGCAAAGAATGTTGATATATGTATCTGACTAGTCTAAACATGTTCAAAAGTTTCAAACAAATGATCAAAGCAGTAAAGTCTAATTTACTGAGGTTCTACTGTGTGTTAGTCATGTCAACTCACCCTATTAAATGTTTTGTGCAATGGGTGTGCTATCCTCATTTAAAAATGAGTAAACTAAGAATTCTATAGCCACTGTTACCCACTTTGAAAGAGGAAGAGCCAAGAATAAAAACCAATCTTTCTGACCTTGTAATATATTTGCTCTTTCAAGTAGAACATAGTTTGTTCATGATGTCTTCAAGGTATGACACAAAATTCTACTTTATTTCTCATTGATATCCATGTGAAAGTACTTTTAAATACCAGTTTTCTCTGCTCCCAGTCTTATTCATTATTATTTTATGGAAGCAAACATTGTACAGTAGAAATCTGACATTTTAAAGCAAGCTTTCAGTTAATTTTTCTGAATTAAATCATGTGCTTCCAATTGCCTGTCTGTCTCTTTCAGAAAAGCATATAGTCTAATGCTTAAAAAAAGATCTAAAATCTCCTCACCTTCACTTTATAAACAACAGGAGGAATATATCTTTTTGGGGACATTAGCTTCGATGCCTGGACAATGTCTTAATCATTCAATCAACTTATGAGCTCTTTGTAAGCAAGTATCATTAGCTATACATTTATTTATCTTCCCATTGGTATTAGAGTTTTGTTGAATAAAAACAAATGAAAATGAGCAAAAACAAACTTGAAATATCAGAATTACATGGAATATCTTATAAAGTGGAACCAATCAAGTATTAACTATTATCATTATTTGGTAAGATATAATCAAAGCAGTAGAAGGCACAGTAGATGTATATAAAGTTATATATTCTTCTTATTGAGGAACTATATATACAGTTATCTTACTTCTTATCTAATCGTTATAAAAGAGAAATGAATTTAAGTCACTCGTTTGGGAAGGAACTAAAGAATGCAAAGAAAAAGGAATAATACATAGAAGGACAAAATAAAACTCTCAAAATGGATGAATATTAAAATAAATTTGAGATATCATCAATTATTTTCATTATAGTAAAAGTATACTTACAAAAATACTAACAACAAGAAAACACTACTACATAAAATTTAGAAATCAAAACAAGGATTCAACACTGGTAATTTCTAATCAAACATCTAACACTGATAAAAACTAAGAGAATATAGAAATAAAATGGTCTAAGTTTTTTCATAAATACTTCCATCTCTTGTAAATACTGGTTCCTCTGAATTTAGATAATTAGCGCAATGTATTAAAATCAAGTGTTAGGAAATTTCATGATTTCTCCTATAACAACTTTTATTTTTGAAATGAACTATTAAATTGCATCTAAACTTGGATTACAATTTAATTATACTCAATGCTTCTTAAGGCTTCATAAAGTAATTTTTCCAACCTTTAAAAAAAATAAAAAACAAAATGGTCTAGAAGGAAAATAGGCTGTTTTAAAGTTCTGGTAGTCTTCACTACAAGTAGGAGTCATGGAATGTAAAATCTGACTATAATGGACAGGAGATGGAAAAGAGAAAAAATTATATTCATCTGCTGTATTTCTAAAGTAGCTGTCATTAAAAACATGAATATAATTGTATGAAGATGGCATTTTAGAACAAAATATTTCTCAAAATGTTTTGCCTTTGTTCTTTTTTAATGAACTACCGAACTACCTAGAGTAGTCAAACTGAAATTTTGATTTACATGCAAAATGGTAAATCAAATTTATAGGCGGTATTAGTTTCAACTGGGGTCCTTTACTATGTATGAGAAACCAGACCAAAATGGAGTTATTCATGTTAGAGTTCCATGCCAACAAGCCTGAACTGAGTTCTTTATCTGACTTTCTGGGAAATCAGGGTAAAAAGAGAGAATGATGGCCAAATCCCCAAACAGATCACTTTCAGCTAGCATGAAAAATAAGTTTTCTTTTCTTCAACCTTTCCAGAATGAGTAACTTCGACATGACCAATCTACTTTTTGTTTTCTTTACTTACCTCAGCTAAGAAGAGTATTCTATTTTGTAGAATATTCTATTTTGTAGAGGTGTTTTATAATTCTTGAATCACAAAACCCAATTTAAACTTTATTTTTGAGACAGGGTTTTGTTATGTAGCCTCAAATTCTAGATCCTCCTATCTCAGCCTCCCAAGTGTTGAGATTATAGGCATGCACTGTGGTGCCTGACAATAAACATTTTATCTTTTGACAAAAGTGAAAGCACATAGATATGCCACTATTTTCAGAATTCTATAGGCTGCAAAAACAAATGTCTGTGGGAAATCAAAATATATATATATAAAATTAGTCACCAATTCACAGCAAAGAGCTACAAATCTATTTACCCTCTCATTGTACAATCCCACACATTACATTAAAAAGGAACACTAAATTCTCAAACCCCTACACATCTCAAAGTAAATTCTCCACCTACAAAGCACTCTAAGAGGAATATTTTTTTTTATCCCAAAGCGCTACTGAATTAACATTTCCATAGACTCTTTAAATTTACAAACCAAGGCTTGTAGTAAAAACCAAGAGAACAGAATTCATCTAAATGGTGAAACAGTCCTTTGGAATACTTCTAAAAAAGGATGAGGTCTTATAACATGTTCTATATTTGCTTGACTGCACATAAAATAGTACCTTGATTCTCTCATTAATATGATGGCAGAATTCCTCATTTTAGCTAAGCATTTGAAAATATACTAAATATCTGAGATAGATACTTGTTATTCAACAGCTAGATGTGCTTACATTTTTTTTCCTGACATTACCATCAAGAAAGCAGAAGATTGTGTCATAATGAATGGCTCTTAAACTCAATCTCCACTATTTCTGAAAACATTTATGTTTGGTTTTGCTGCAAGTAGTACACTGAACAATAATTATCTGTGCCAGAAATGAGGATAAACTCTAAATACAATTCCACTTAACCTATGACATTTTACTTGTTTCATATGTAACAACTATAAATGACTCCATATGATACACGCATAGCATTAAAATCTAATAAATGTTGAGTCTAATTTTCTTTATCTATCTAATTTAAAAACTGAAAATCTAAAGTATAAAAGTATATTCTGGAAGAGCATCATTTTATTTATACATCAGTAACCTTCCAGTGTGTTCATTAAAATGCTCTATACATTAAAATACCAGTTCTCCCTCATGTTATTCAATTAATAAACAATAAAATAACACAAAGTAATAGTAGCAGAAAATATAAAACCTCCTATTTCCACATTTCTATATAACTTTCTAAATAACAAAGAATGAAGATAATTTTCTCACTCAGAGAATAAAATTATGTTTATCATAGGACAACAGAGTTGTAGCTTAAGCTGCTACATGCAAAGTGCCATGCTTGGTCCTGTTCAAAATACTAAACAGCAGAACAGAAAAAAAAAAATGTATGAACAACTGCAATGTGTAGAATCCTTTGCCAAATGTCACAGAATACAGAAAAGCAGCTGCAGAATTTAAGTAAGAAATATATTGGCTTCTCCTTTGAGGAGAAGGAAAAATAACAGTGTTCTATACACTTGTATAGGGAAGAAAGCAAAGAGAAGAGGTGACTTATTAAGAAGCAGTGATTCTGCTACTTTATCATGATTTTCTTTCTACACTAGAAAAGAAGCTATCGGGGTATAAGAGTAAGAATGAAAGAATAAGCTGTGATAGAAACTGACTCCTGAGATAGCAATTTCACACAAATTCAATAGTATTTAAATGGCTATGGAAAACTGAAGTATGCTAGGCATTAAAAGATGTGTCTAAACACTACCGCTACACTAACCGTAGATGAGAAGGCCTTTTTTACACAATCATAGAAGTTACTTCATCTACTCCTAGAATTCAAATAAAATATGGATCTTCAAGACCCATATGAGTTTTAAAATCCCCAAAGCAACTTCAAAATGAAAGGAAAATAAGGAGTTAAAACACTTCCCTAAAGTCAGAAATAGTACTGGGTAAATCTCCCCTGGTTTACAGAAGCAGGGAATGCTCTGTTTTTCAGTCTATTAGGTAAATCACTGAAAAACTTTGCAGTCAATTACTAAGGATGTAAAGGTTCACACTTGGATGTATATTCAAGAAGAATACGAAGCAGACAGTGCACATTTTATACATTCCCTCATATGTATGCCAACTGTACACATTGTACAACATTTCTCTCTTAATCTATTTTCTTTCAATGTCACAGTTAGAACTTAGTAAATAAAAATTAACAAGCAGAGCTGTTACATATACCTAAAAATCATTACTATTTTTTCAGCTTTAATGAAACAAGTACTAATATCTAGCAAACAAATTATGCTAAATAAGAAATAAAAAATGCGAATGTTCTAACAAAAATGAGTAAATAGGGCATACATCTTTTCAATCTCCATTATTATATACAGAAATATGTGCTAATTTTAGTCACTGGCAAAGCTGCAACTTTCAGTATCTGACATTTAAGAGAAAATCTTACTTAAGATCCATGCTTCACCAGCTCTGTGAACATGTCACAACTGCCAATAACAGAGCTGGATTTCATTGTATAGGAAAAAGATACTAGAGTAAAAGTATAAGTATGTATGTGTGTCTATATGCATAGAGATAGGTGTATACATATGCATGTCTACTTCAACATTTTCAATATAAAGCAAGAAATGATTGGAGGAAATTACATTTGAAAGAACTTACCTTTCGCCCATCACTTGCATGGCAATTCACATTTAGAGGAGTCAGTAAAGCCATTAGTTTTTCTTCATTACCGCTCCTACAAAAAGGTAGTAAGTAAATTTCTATAAGATACCGAGCTTCTTATGCATATTTATAGATATATTTTCACAAAAGGGTGGAAAATAGGGCTTTGCTTTAATTTATTATGTGAATCAAAATGAATCCCTAACAATATTCAATTAATTCTTGCTATTCATTATGTAGTGATATATCTTGGATAATGTAGCTTTCTATATTTTTAAAGAATTATAACAAACTTTATTCTGACTAATGATTTAAAACACTGCAGTTAAAAGATACATACAATCTGTTATTTAAATTATACATAGCAAGGAACAACAACAAAAATCAGGTGAGGATTTTAACATTTACTTTATACCCTTCATTAAGCTTTGCTGGAAAATCTTCAGATCAGAATGAGGCTTGCCAACTAAGATTTGTAGGTACATTAAGAAATGTTCCAAATAAAATTAACCTTGTAATCATTATCTAGTGAAAGATACTGTCATATTTACTAACCATGTAAAGTATACAAATATTTAGTATAAGTGTCTATCCATATTATTGCCTAAAATCCCAGCAAGACAATAACACGTTATAATTTTCATAGTCCTCCACCTGCCCTCCCCGTTTTCTCTCTTAAATGCATTATACTCACTTAAAAATGAATGGAATCACTTACCTAGCAGCTTCTAGGAGTTCGTCTTTCTTGTATTCACCTAGATGATTGCAAAATATCATGCTGTTAGCATTTGGCAGAAGACAGATTAAGAAATGCAGTAGGCAGCAAATAGAGAATTAAATAGGGAAGAAGAGAAAAAGAGAGTCCACACCCCGCTGGGTGATGGAGCCGTGACGTTAGCCAGCTTGTGAAGGCAGCATCACCAGTGCCTTGGAGACGGGCAGCAAATTGACGCAGCTTCTTGTCCAATCCTCAGATGAAATAGCTTTCTTCAGACAACCAATGAATGCTAAATCTCATGTCCAGAAACACATTCCCTCTGATAACAGCATGCCAGCTGAAGACAATGTCCCCTCCCCCCTTTTCTATTCAGGCTGTCACAGTAAACTTGTGAAGCATAATACATTCTGAGACAAAAGCAAAATAATGTGGCTCTTTAAAGGTATAAATTACTAGTCTTGAAAAAAAAGCCCTCAGTTTTATTTGTAACGACATGAAAGTTCTTTTTTTTTTTTTTAATTAATTACCATCGTTGAGCTTTCTACCAGTAGAAAATGCAAATATCAGAACCATGAAGCCCCTGCCTCGCGAGGGAAGGTCTGTAGACTACAAATACGTGAACTACGTACCAAATGCTATGAACCTCTTGGAGGCAGCGCTCCAAAACCAAAACAGGGAACGTATTCTTAAATGGCAGTAATAAACTAATGTGTATTAAGCCTTTATACTTTATATATCTTCCACAGGAAATTGACAAGTCACAATTCTCAAAAATAGTTTTTAAAGCAGGTTGAGGTCTTTGAGAATGAGTAGATACTCAATTATTGTGACATGGGTAATTTTCCCCCTTGTATAATTTCACAAGGAATTTTTCAAAATATATCACAGACTAAAAATAAAAATATATCTAAAAATACATAGTAACGTATTTCTTAGGGTATTTAAGATCTAATAAGTTTGTTTTGCAAGCAAGTGCAATTGAAGGACATTGAATCTTAATAATACAGTGTTTGTTCATTCATTAAATAAAGAACAGCCAGGACTATGATTCAGCTACAATAACTGACTCAGTTGGCTATATCATAATTACACAGTGTTTTAACAAATCATTACATGAATACAAATATTAAGTATATAATGCTATTTTAAGTGAAAAGAGTCTAACATGAAATAACTAAAGTATTTTTTAAGATCTTATGTGAAAATACTAATTTCTTCATACTTTGTTTCTACTTTGCTATAAGAATGATTCAAATACAATAATGATACCTCAAGATCACAAATCACATGTTTAAATTCCATAATCCATTATTAGCAGATATTCTTTAGCCTCTTAGATTAAGACTAGGTTAAAACCTACAGAGTATAACCATGTTACTTTCAGATGAGGAAGCAGTTCAATGCCTATTCTTTTCTAAATGGAAATATTATATGCTAATAAAGCCACAGGTTTCACAATATATAACGATAAGCTAGAATGTACAATTTCATGATCACAGAATTAGTCATTCCAATTTTTTCATAAAATATATTCCATGTTCTTTAACAACATAAAAGCAATATTATTATATCCTCTAGCCAACAAGTCTCACATATATTCCTTAAACAAACATTTTAGGTAGTAATATGGGAAATGAATAGGTAGAGACACAGATGTTAAGAGTCAATCAAAAAAGTCCCTTGTGAGAAAAATATCAAAGCCCTCCTTACAATTATTTGCCTGAGAAGTCAAGACCTAAGCAAATCAAATTACAGAATGTATTTATAAAAGTCACTCATTCATTTGAAAAGCCTATATGCCAGATTCAAAGATAAGACATAATCATCTCTAACCTTAAGGAGTATTATTTTATTGAAAGTTATATAAGTAAATGTATGATTACAGTATGGTTATACTATTATATATTATGATCATATGGTTATAAAAATCTTACAAAATGTTATTATGAGTTTACTGGCTAGTCTAAGTGGGAATAATAAGAGGCAGGTTAGTTGTGATTGAGGAAGCCTTCTTGGAAGAGGAGACACCAGAGCAAAGTGTCAAAGAAAGAAGTGATTTTTAGGGGAATAGAGTATGGGCGAAGAAAGCAACTGCACAGATAGAAATGCAAAGGGAAATGGTACTTCTAAAATATCAAATATGAATCAGAGAACACCTGCAGGATCATGAGTAAGGATGAGGCACAAAATAAATTAAAGGATCATGAATGATTCCCTAGGTTGAGAAATCTGAACTTTCTTCTGAAAGCAGTAATACTGAAATATACAAGGGGGTAGGGAGATAAAGTACATTTAAACATCTGCAATATTTGTGATTATATAAAATACAAACTGCTCTTGGACAGGAAAGAAGGGGGACAGGAAACAAGAAATGGAGGGGAAGAAAGGAAGGAGAAAGGAAGAGGTAGAGGGAAAGAACAGACACAGTGTCAGAGAACTGAGCTGTGACCACAAAGCAATTATATCGTGTGGTAAATATACATTCTTTGATGTTATTCAGTAAAAATATAGTAACATTGTGAACAGGAAGTGACTATGATTGAAATTTCAGTCATGGTGAATCATGACTCCAATAAGCTAGGTAATAAACAGGGCAAAGTATCAAAGTTCAAATCAGTCTTTCTCTATACACTTCTCTCATGCATAGCTTATTGATATTTTCACCCAAAGTCACATTTCTGCAAAATGTTATTCCTTCCGAGATAAGCTGATAATAAGGTAAAGCTTTCAGAAGGAAATAAAAATATAACTATATCCAACAGAGCCAGACACAGGTATTACAAATGACTTTTTACTCTTACTGTTACAGATCCTAGTAGTATAATCAGCTTTTCTGCAATACATTCCAGCATCCACTATCTGGTGCCCAAGGACCACAATCCATAAACAGCTGAAGCCATTTTTCAAATGCTACCTTGCAGGAACAACTAATATAATGAATTGAGAGCCCTTCACGCACTCTGACAACAAATCTGACTACTTACTAATAGCCAAACCACCAGATCTGTTTCATTTTAGCTGAGAAACTGAAAATATTCTGGCTGAGACTGATCCCCATGGAGCATTTATATTCTTTAATAACATCTCGATAAAAACTAGCAATAGATCAGCTAGAAAGGAAACTAGGCAATTATAGTCAAGATAATAGCAGCCAGATGTGGAAAAAATAAATAGCTTAAAATATTTTTATTTATAAAGTGAAGCAAAAATAAGTTAGACACAAAGTTTACTTTCTGAAATCTGAACTGTCGCTATTATCAAGTAATTAATAATACACGTAAATATACAGATTAAACATTTTTAAAAAGCCATGTTGCTAGGCTCCAGTGGCTCATGCCTATAATTCTAGGAGGCTGAGATCTTAGGATCAGGATCCAAAGCCAGCTCAGGCATGAAAGTCCATGAGACTCTTATCTCCAATACCAAAAGAACTAGAAGTGGAGCTGTGGCTCATGTGATAGAGCACTAGCTTTGAGTAAAAAAGCTCAGGGACATGCCCAGGCCTAGTTCAAGTAGGAAAGAAAGAAAGAAAAAATGAGAGAGAGAGAGAGAGAGAGAAAGAAAGAGAGAGAGGGAGGGAGGGAGGGAGGGAGGGAGGGAGGGAGGGAGGAAGAGAAAGGCAGGCCTAAGCCTAGTTATTTCATTCATTCATTCATTCATTCATTGTTTGTTCATTCCTTCATTGTGTGGGTAGTGGTCCTGGTGCTTGAACTCGGGGTCTGGGCATTGTCCCTAAGTTTTTTTTCCCCCTTAAATCTAGTACTCTACCACTTGAACCACAGCTCCACATCTGGCTTTTTGGTATTAACTGGAGATAAGCACTTCATGGACTATTCTGCCTAGGCTGGCTTCAAACCTCAATCCTTACATCTCAGTCTCCTGAGTATCTAGGATAACAGGTGTGAGCCATTGGTGCCTGGTGACTGCTCTTCCTTTCTTTCTTTCTTTCTTGCAGGGTGACTGCCCTTCCTCCCTCTCTCCCTTCCCTTTCCTCCCTCGCTTCCCTCTCTCCCCTCCCTCCCTCCCTCCCTCCCCTTTCTTGTCAGTCGTGGGGCCTGAACTCTGGGCCTTAGGTACTGTCCCTCAGCTCTTCAGCTCAAGGCAAGCGCTCTACTACTTGAGCCACAGCGCTACTTCTGGCTTTTTCTGCTTATATGGTGCTGAGGAATCGAATGCAGGGTCTCATGCATGCAAGGCAAACACTGTGCCACCACTGAGCCACCTTCCCAGCCCCTGCTCTTTATTTTTGAAATAGAAATAACCTCTCTATCACTTAGTGTGCAGGAAAATTGTCTTTTGAATATAAATGGGGGAAAACTGACTACTGACTTCTCTCAATTTTGACAGAGTAAGTGGCTTTTGCCAGTTGGCTCCAACAAACCAGATATAGGTTTGTAAAAAGTGAGTCACATGAGCTTTTTGAGCTGGAATAACAAGAAAAGATTATGAATGTGAAATCAAATTCCTAAGTAGTAAGGGACTACAAAAGAATTTTGACCTCTGTTTTCTCAGCTTTCACATCACATAATGCACACATCTACCAATGCCCTTTTGCTTTATAGGAAATGCAGATATGGCAACTGGAAAGTCACCTTCTCCCTACCACCTTTACCCGCAGTTTCATAATCACTCTAAGAGACCATCTACCATATAGTTGCTTATGGTCAATCAAACTGGTATGAAGCAGTTAAATGGATCATCTAAGTTTAACTGAGTATTATCCACTAGTCTGTCAGGCTCTGAACTAATATGTGAGCACAAAAACTGCTAAATCTAAGCTTTAAAAGAAGTGGTGTAAGCAAAAGAGAGAAAATAAGAATAGCAAGAATACAATTGTTTACAGCAAAGACAATCACTAGTTTTAAACTACTTTAACATAACAAGCCAAATTTTCATACCAGAACTACTTAAAAGCACTTGAACTTTCAGATGAGCTTGTAAGTACTGGTCAGTGGGCCAAGGAAAAATGATTAAAGAAAATTCATTCTAGATCTCTTCAAATGATCAATGCATTTTCCATAATGTGATTTAATTTCT